TTTTATTACTCCATTAGTACTATTGAGTCTGGAGGAGTTGTGTGCGCTTGTTAGTGGGCAGGCAGTGGTTCTGGTTGAGTGTGTTCATCAGCTATTAGGTCATGAATAGATGGTGTGGGTGACCATGAGGTTTGGGGGTGCAGGTTGTGAGTCATCAGATTTAGAGTGATGGATGAGTGTGCTCAGGTGGCCAAAAGTATTGATGGCTTCATGTCTTCTAGACTGGATGGAATGTGGGTGCCAAAACTGTAGCATTGGGATGAACATTACCATATCCCAAAAGCTGTGCACACCTACATATTACCTTTACCTACCTTTGTTTACCACAGCACTTTAAACTTAACTCATATTACTTCATCAGACAAGGCAATATAACACATTTATGATCAAACCACAGAAATATAAATATAGAGAAGTAGGAAAACAGCCAGGTTGTGTTCTATCAGAACATCTGCCACATATATCAACAGTCTGCACCATTCATCTTCTAGCTTACATGAAAATAAAAGCCCTTTCTAGAGAACATTGCATAGGGCTAAAAACTGTATAGTAGCCAAGTCATTACTTTCCTATATTGTTGATTTTTTAAACGATTGTATATAGAAGATTCCAATTTTGAGTGAATAGGAGAAAAAGGGGAAAAAATCACCCAGAAAATCATGTTGGCAGTGATGCCCTGAAGCGAACAGTATTCCCGTTTGACATTATTGATTACCAGTCTGTGGATATTCTCCTAGCGAGATAGAAACATAATTAAACATTCTGTCATAGAACCAGCTGTCCCAGGGACATCTCAAATTGATATTTAGTTGCCTTGTAGAGCAGCAGAGAAAAAAGCATATCATGTGATCTTTTTTTCTATCTAATTATGTTGCAGCAACAATGTCATAGGCACGGCTGCAAGAACACTGCATGAATGTGTGCCCCTTAGCCGAATGAAAAACATTAAAGAGACTATATAATCTTTTCAGTTTTATTCTATATATAAAAAGAGACCTAAATTATGTAAATTATTTTGAATATCTTTTAAAGGTTTAAGAAAAAGAAAAAGATGTACAGACACCGAGATAAGGATCTAGGGTCACAGCATACACTCATTTACTAACATCAGCATTGTAATACCAGTACAAACAACAGTTATTTTTTCAATCCACTATAAGCTTAATTGAAAATTTCTGATTTCATGTTGTGAGTTCTGTCCGTCTGAATTACCGGCATGATTTGCAGCTTCTCCTCTGTTGTTTATTTTCCATTTCTAAGGACTACATATCCCATGGTACCTTGCTCCCTGTAAGCAGTAATTCCTGTACTAACTCCGCCTCCTGAAACTCCTCCTCTTAAAGTGTTACTAAACCCACAACAGTAAAATCAGTCTGTATATGCAGTAAAGCATGCTTGTTATACTCACTGTGGAACCTAAAAGTTAAACTATTGCATTGTGTAAAAACACTGTTTGACTATGTCTTCTCTGATCCTCCCCCTCTTCCAGTGTCCCTTATCTCCTGATATGACATATCGTGTGGAGTCACTCTGCACATGATCAGTTTGGTAGAGCTAGAGAGGTTTTTTTTTTCTTGGTTGAGTGCATGTGATGAGCACAGGGCCAATCAGCACTGTCCAAACAGGGTTTTGCATCCTTCTAGAGCAAAATGAAAACTCCTCCTACAAGCTTTAACATGTGCTCTGCTGCACGCTGATAGAAGTCACAAGACTGCTCTAACTTCCGACGAGAAAACTACAGAGGTGTTAGTGTTACTAAACCCAGGACCCTGCATTCACTATATCTGATCTCCCACAGTACACAAAACATGGAAATGCAATTATTTTAGTAAATATAAACTGCTAAATACCTTCTCTCATTAGCAGTTGGAGCAGTCTTGTGACTTCTATTAGTGTTCAACAGAGCACTGGTTAAAGCTTGTAGGAGGAGTTTTCTCAGTAAGCATGTAATTGTAAATTACAGAGATCCACATCGAGGCATTTATCTTGTTGGACTTAACTCATAGTAATCCAGCACATTTTAAAAAGTGGCTGAATTTCTGGAATTCAGCTTTAATTTCTAAAGTCATCTAAATCTACTAGTCAATCTAACACTACCCTCTCCAGAAAAATGCTACTGTCTAGGGGTGACTGTTGTTCATCCATAGATAGAGCAGCAACACTAAGTCAGGAAGCGTGTTACTGGCAGGGTCACTAGGTGAAAAAAAATGCAGCAACTACAATTAAGTATTGGTAAGCTGCGGTAAATTAAAGGATATGTTCACCTTTACATAAAAGTAATAAATGCACATATTTTTGCAGGCCAAAAAAGTGCTTTTATTATTATTTTTTAAAACAAGAATTGACCACGGGTGCAATGTCAGGTTCCTTTACACACTGCCTACAGCTCTGTTGCCTGTACCTATATAGGGAATGTCATTTTCAAAGCTGTAGACAGTGTGAATGAACTATGAGCATACTGATCAGCATGCCTGTAGTTCATTCAAACTACAAGTCCATCTGTCGCAGTGGCAGATGGTTCTTGTAGTTTATTCATTCACAGGAATCTGTGAATGGATGACACTGCTGTGTGGGCCGAGCCCCAAACAGCCATGTTAATTTTAAAAAGTGACAGCAAGTACAGGGCAAAGAACCCCAGCCCACTGTCACAGATAGGCGGGAGTGGGGGGAGTGGGGGCCAAAGCTGGAACATGTTACATGTTCCTCCCTAAATATGGGTGGAACATTTTACATGTTCCCAAAGGTAACTTATCTTTTACATTTTTCTATTTGTTTTTAGATATGTTTTATGGATTGCATGTTTAGTGTTTAAAACACTGTACTGCATACAGCTCTCTAAACGCCAATATTCTTTTGCATAGAGAAAGCCATGCCAGGGTGGAAAGTTCACCCTAATGAGCATTTTTCACTGACTTTCATGTTGAAGACATTTTTATTGTACAAGTGATATATGGAAAAGGAGCGGACACAACAATGGATAAATCATGAAAGGGCTCTTTCACCACCCCCCCCTTTCTGTCACAGAGGGCTCTCTGTCCTAATTCTTTTTCACACAGGCAAAAAGATTATACGGTATAAGAAACATATTGACACTGTTGACTACCTAATCATATGTTACAGCAATGCTAGCAGGTCTGACTTGTGGTCCATCTATCACAAGTGACTATGATTAAAATGGATAAGAGGGTTGTCTTGGACTTATGTTTTATATGCATGATGTCGAAAGATATGCAGCAATACTAAATTTGACAGCAATCTTACTGCCCACATATCAACTATGTCCATCCTGATGTAGATTGTTTTTAGTGGTATTCAAATAAGGGAAGATTGTTAATATTTATAATGACATGTAATTTCATTCCAGTACAAAAATAGAAATAAGCATTACATAAATGTGGATTCATTTATTTTTATTATGTCTCCAAGGCCAGTCATTCATGGGAAAATCTCACACATTGATGAAAAACGATACATCTGCCCATTAGTTATACAAGTGGTGACTAACTCTGATCCTCACTAGGTCCACCAAGATCCCTTTCACATGGGCTATCCAATCAGGTCTGCCTGTCACTTTTTCAGGAGGAAGTGTCATCCGCCCGCTCTGCTATGATCAGCAGGGGATCTATGAGTGGATCCCATGCTGATCAGAATGCAATCTGCCCTGTGTGAAAGGGGCCTAACAGTACATCTTTATCCCTGGGGAGCTTTGAGGCTTTCTAGGAAAAAATAAGAGGGTGTCCCGACGAATGCAGTGAAAAAACCTTCATACTTAAAACTGGAAGCCTGGCAGTAGCAAGTGAGAGAAAAACAAACCCTTATTGTAACCTCCCACTTAAAAATGCATATATCAGCAGAAAAAAAACAAAAAAGTAACACATGGGCAGCACAGTGGATAAGTAGTTAACTCTTCTGCTTGGCAGCACTAGGGTCGTTGGTTCAAATCCCAACCACAGTGTTACCTGCTTGGATGTTCTCTCTGCTTGCATGGGTTTCCTCCCACATTCCAAAGACATGCTGGTAGGTTAATTGGTTGCTGTCTAAATGGGACTTGATATTTGTATGTATGAATATCAGTTAGGGACCTTAGATTGTAAGCTCCTTAAGGGCAGGGGCTGATGTGAATGTACAATACATGTATGTAAAATACTGTATACATTGTTGGTGCTATGTAAGTATATGTAATAAATAAGTACAAGGATCAGCAGCTAAGACATGACATGTGCTCTCATATTAAATTTTGATTTACTACCATTGGCTAATACACTGTATAGGTAAAAACACCATAAACACATTTAAAGGGTATCTAAAGCCAATACAATTCTTTTTAATTTTTGATGCAGAAGGAAAGAGCTAAATCCATTGTCCGTTCTTTTTTCAATCTTTTCCTCATTTCCCTTTATTCTCTGTTCTGTATATGCAACAGGAAGTGATGGACGTAATGGAGAGTCTCTCTCTGCTCTCTCCCTCCTCATTGGCTCAGACAGAGCAGTGAGAGCCATTGGCTCCCACTGCTGTTATTAACAGCCAGTGAGGAGGGAGCATGGGACGGGGCCAAGCCATGCTCTGAGTGTCTTATAGACACACAGAGGTGACTTGAGAGTGAGAACACAGGTGTGCCTCAATAGGAAGCAGCTTTCTATGGTGGACCATCAAGAAGAGGAGGAGCCACGAGTGCCAGAAGAGGAGGATCGGAGCTGCTCTGTGCAAACCCATTGCACAGACCAGGTAAATATAAGATGTTTTTTATTTAAAATATAAATCTAAACTTTACAATCACTTTTAAGAAGTCCTTCAATTCCTGTTCCAGCAACAACTGAAAATTGTTTTTTTTTTTTTTTAATTTTCCCTCACTTTTAGTTGCAGCGACAATGATCACACGAGGACAGAGATGGTGAACCTCCATGGCAGAAGCACAGACAACAATCCATAATTTACAGAGATGTTAACTCTTCTCTACTGTAAAAAAAATAGCTTTACTGTAGATACTCTTTAAAGTGTTACTAAACCCACAACAGTAAAATCAGTTTATGTATGCATTGAAGCATGCTTGTTATACTCACTGTGGAACCTAAGGGGTTAATCCTCTGCATTGTGTAAAAAGGATGTTTGATCCTGACTTCTCTGCCCTCCTCTTATTCAAATGTCCACCCTGATAAGACAGACTGAACCCGTAGCCCTTCTGCACATGCTCAGTTTAGTTTTTAGAGGTTTTGTTTTCTTGGTTGAGTGCATGTGATCAGCACAGGGCCAATCATCACTGTCCAGATAGAGGTCAGGGGTTCTGCATCCTCCTAGAGAATAAAGAAAACTCCTCCTACAAGCTTTAACCAATGCTCAGCTGAAGTCACAAGACTGCTCCAACTGCTGATGAGAAAAGATATTTAGCAGTTTATATTAACTAAAATAATTGCATTTCCATGTTGTGTGTACTGTGGGAGACCAGCTATAGTGAATGCAGGGTGTAGGGTTTAGTAACACTTTAACATTGCACATTAGATTCTACATTACAGCTGTGCTTAATGTCACGTGGAGGATAGTCACACTGTCATACATGCATGTACAGCACTGTTTTTGTGGCCTGCCTCAGTGTCCACTGAATAGCCTGCCTAATTTAATGTCAGGTTCTTCATGACTGCTGATATTATCACTTGTACTACTCATCACTTAAAATAACTAGGTACATCATAAACCAAACAAATGGAAACTTCTGCGCTAACCCAAATATATATAAAAATATATATATTATGTTGCAGCTCCTCACTGTTCTGTGTTCAAACACAAATAGAAATCAATATAGAAAAAGTGTAGCGCAACTAAAATGTGTATAATTCAATATAAATGAGCAATAAAAAAAATGTGAAAGAAAAGACAAAAGCATGTAAATGCATCAAACATTGTGTTTGATGCATTTACATGCATCTGTCTTTTTTTAAATAAAATAATATTTTTATTGCACATTTATATTGGATTACACACATTTTAGTTGCGCTACACTTTTTATAACTAGGTGCATAATGCTGGGCCGAACAATGATATGTACGGTTGCAGCTCCCCATTATTATTGAAGAAGTGCTGTGTGAAGAATGGTCAGTACTCCCCAGGTATTCATACTACAGATGGGGATATGTATGCATTAATTCAAAGCCTGTATGAAACAGCAGCATTATTATTTTATCTTCAAGTCGGTGATGAGAACTAAAAAAACATGCACCTTTAGGCTGATGTCACACTTGTGATCCCGTTACGGGTAACAACTCACAAGTAAGACAACTTTTATACAGGCAAAGGCAGGGCAGATAAATACTTTCCCATTTGAACAGGTTGCTCCCTTCCTGGCTATATGAGTAAGGCATCACTTGCTAAAAATTACCATTCAACAATAGTCACAAGTTAGTAAGAGAGTGGCACTTCTCTCACCCCAACAGCATCTTATGGAAACAGAAAGCACATTCACAGATTTTTATAGTGATTTTGTAGCTGGAAAGCTGGCATTGTTCTAAAGCTGGCCTATCTAAATGAACAATCTCCTTTAGGTTTACCAAAAACAATGCAACAAAGGAACAAACCTAAACAATTCTTTGTATATTTGTATATAATAATCCGACAGTCCCTCAAACTACATAGCTGTTAATAGATCTAAAGATTGTACAGTCAGATTGCATAGTGACCCCTTCACTTCATTGCATTAAAATGCATTGCGTTAAAGCAACCTGTTTGTTTTTTAAAGAATGAGCATACCCCATTTTTGGGAATCTAGTACAGCATGTGAGTTGTGATGCATTGCTGTGCAGTGTTTTGAGATGCTATTTACAATGTATTACGTTTTAAAGTGTAAAGTTGAAATCAGGGGTGGACTGACAACTCATGGGGCCCCCGGGCAATAGGGGATCATGGGGCCCCTGTGTCCTTGCCCAAACTCAAAAAAAAAAAACTATGGAAAAGTTACCAGGGGCATCTCATGGGGCCCCCTACTGACCCCGGGCCCTCGGGTAGTGCCCGTGTTTCCAAATGGTTAGTCCGCCCCTGGTCGGAATAGACTCTAAGGGGTTTATTTACTAAAGCTGGAGAGTCCAAAATCAGACTCCCTTCTGCATAGAAACCAATCAGCTTCTAACCTCAGCTTGTTCAATGAAGCTTTGGCAATGAAGCTGATTGGTTTCTATGCAGAAGGGAGTCTGATTTTGGACTCTCCAGCTTTAGTAAATAAACCCCTAAGGGACCATTCATGAAAAAATGAGTCGAGCCCCACTGCTCTAAGTTTAGTCACATAATCTTAAAACTTGGACAAATACTACCTTTCCGTGACTATGGTTACTTATAAACTTTCTAAAATACCAGAGTAGCAAAGACAGTACAGCCAACCTCCCTTGAAACATAAAAAGAATTTACATTATTTGAGTATTTGTTTTCAATGGTTACTTATATCAACCAGTTTTTACAGGCATCTACACAGGCATTGAAAATAGGCATCTGGATCACATTTTTATAATTTCCTGACCGCTTATCAGCACCACTCAAAATTGTTAAAATAGGTAGCAGATGGAGGAGTTCACACTGCAGCATTACCATAGGCCCCTGTTGTGTTGAGGCAGAGTTCAGCAGGTGCTGATGCTTTGTAACTGCTTCCATTCACTTATATTTAAAACACATTACAACCATGCTGTAAATGCCCTGTAAATGCATCTATGGCATTTACAGTGCATTTAAGGTGTAGTTGGAAATAGTCAAAAGTGCTAATTTCCCATTTAAGCCTTGTTCAAATTTTAAAAATAAATATCTCACAGGGAGTTTGAGGAGTTCAGCCTGACGCAACATGAATGCCTGTGTAATGCAACCAAAATGCTCTATAATACTATAGGTCCATTAATGCGCATTAAAGCTGCTGTAAAATTCAACGCTTGTGTGAAGAAGCCCTTAGTGTACTATAAGATGCTTAGCTCTTTTAATATGTCCAGAAACACCAATTACATTTCAAATACTATATAACCTCTTATGCCTGTATTTCCCTTCTTTGGGCTTAAAGAGCTGTCATCATACACCGACACAGAAGTTTCTTGGTGACCAAATTCCTTCTAGATGTGCATTCTGCTTTCAAAAATGATTTGCAATCACAGGGGATAGACTTAGTTAAACCTATGCAGAGACTATCTATTTCCAGTAGCTTGTGATTTGTTTCTTTGGTGATGTATGCTGACAAGGCAATACCGAAATAAATATTTATAGCTCCTGGCTGAAAGCAGAACTACAGCCAAAAATAACAAGATAAAAATAAATAGTCCATTAAAATATAAAATACAAAAGTAGCTTTGCTGAAATCTTTTGTTTCAATCCGCTAGATCCACAATCCTATTCACATGGATTCTGCTATATGTCTTCAGTCTGATAACCAGTAGCCTTCAATCCTCTTCCTCTCAACCCAGGTCATCCTGGACCTGCCTCATCCTGTGAATGGACAGTGAAAGGAAGAGAATCACAATGATGAGCTCTTCTCACTTTCACTCTGTTTTCTCTTCCTAGCAATATGCTTTTTGTCATCACGTGAACTGATTGGCACCTTTTGCTGCTGCTTTCTCTCACACTCCAGCCACACCACACAGGGACTGCCAGAGCTTGATATTAGGTCAAAAGCAGGTACTTACACCACTTTAATGATGTTTTACATCATTACAGAGCTGCATTAAATTGTATCTGCCTAGAGTTCGGGTTTAGGAAATTCTATCATGCATGTTTAAGCTCTAGATGCCCTGTTGGATGTTCTAAATCAGTGGTCTCCAAACTGTGACCCTTTGCTTGCCTTTATCTGGCCCTGGAGGCACTATTCCAGCAACTGTCACCAGTGATGGAGCACCACTCCTTCTACTGACACCATCAATAGGGCATTATACTTCTCATTGATATCAACAATGGGACACTATTCCTCCTATTAAAATCAATGATGGGGCACTTATGCAGGGGCATTTTCTACTCCCACCGGCTACAGTCCAGCCCCCCTTAAGGACATTAAACTGGCCCTTTGCTTAGATAATTTGGAGACCCCTGTTCTAAATTCTAATCTGTGAACTTGATGCTCTACATACTGTACAGTGCAGACTGCAGACAAGCTGAACAGAAACAAAACAACGTCTATACCAACCTGAGCCTGTGAGTACAGCCTGGTAATCACTTGAAATGAAACGACAAAATTCAAGGTTATATCCTCAGAGTTGCTTGGTGTCCCTGGATATATGAATTGGCTAATGTGTTATAAAAGCACAGTAATCCCTTCAAGCAAATGTCTAACAGATTTCTTCTGGTGGCATCCTCACTTTTCCTTTCACATTTCATACCATAGCCAAGCTTATTTTCATCAAAATGAGACTCCTGATTCACATGCTTCAGAAGGACTAGTGTCAGTGACCACCATATTTATATATTAAGAAACATTTAGGTCATAAAATACCCTGGTTTCAAAACATTGAATCCCATTGTATGAGACTAAGAAAAGGGTCAAAGTCGCTGATCGGTTGGTAAGGTGTATGAGTCTAGCAGCAGCATTCATAATAGATTGAAGGGGGGGTAGCCTGCATAACGGTAGACCAGTGAGGAGGGAGTTGCAGTAATCGAGGCGGGATATAACCAAGGCGTGGAAAGGTTGTTTTGTGGTGTCATTGGTCAGGAAGGGGTGAATTTTGGAAACGTTCCAGAGGTTGAGGCGGCAGGATTTAGCCAGTGAGTGGATGTGGGGCCCAAAGGAGAGATCAGAGTCTAGGATTATGCCTAGCACCTTGGCATGAGGGGAAGGACCAATGGTTGTGCTGTTGATCTTAATGGTAAGGTCGTGAGTGTGGGATTGGGGAGGAGGAAATATTACAAACTCAGTTTTTGAACGATTGAGTTTAAGGTAGTGATGTGACATCCATATATATATATATATATATATATTACTATTTTTATTCAATGTACAAAAAATTAGCTGCTTTTTTTTTTCCTTTCAGCAACACAGTTTGTGCCTGTCTTAACTCCCCACCACCAAAACCTAGGACCTTGCCAGGAAATGTTCTCAATTTTACATTGTTAAGAAGGTTTTTTGAAAGTACTATAAACTACAAAAATATACGTGTTATTAGGTCATCTAATAAGAAAGAACAGCAAAAGATGCAGGAAGTCATA